ATATTGGATCAATATTGTTCAACACAGAAATCATAAATTTTCAATAAATTTGTTTTGTTCTTCTTTATCATTATTCATATTGAACATTTATTTCGTTCAATTTTTTTTATTGAATCAATAATATTTATAGAGAAATTTAAATGATAATAGTAGGTATTATTTACCTGGTAATCTTACTTAGGTTTTCGATTTTATTGAATTCAATTCGAGCTAATCCATGTCAGGTATCTACCTTAGTACAATGGAAGATGGTCGAGCAATTTGGTGGTTTGGTTGAAGTTAGACATTAACACCTTTGGATGCTTGCCGTCTCAGTGGTCTAGATGCTAATCGTCCTCGCGTGAGATCGAAGTTCCTGGGTTCGAATCCTACGAGTGAGATTGTGGGTGCCCACTTCTGAGTAATCTCATACTAGAACAAAACAGCCATTTAATACTTCCAGGTTTTTTATGATGTCCTAACATTCATCGATTCATGATCTCAATCAAAAACTTACTAGTCTTCACAACTTCATACTGATATTTTAATTCAGCTTAACTACTTAGTAGGTTTCAGTAGTTCATTGTAATAAAAAGTTTCTCACTAGTTTTTTCTTCGTTTTTTTAATCAAAATCATTTATTGATTAATGGTAGTACATTGGGAAAAGAGAACCAACTTTTTGGAGAGAAAAAAAACAAAAACTAATCGTACATGAAAAACTAAAAAACTAATTTAATCTTTAGGTTGTAAGAAAACAATCATATGGTGTTTAATCATTCTGTTTAGTTGATTGACTTAAATTCATAAATGATTTTCAATTATATCAAATGTTGATAGATATATCATCTGTTGTAATATATGTTATGATATGCCTCCAAATGGTCTGGTACAACTGAGAGTGGAGAGAGTCAACACTCCCTCTCCAAATGCTCTGACAAGTTCACGCATATACACCAACTGCCAAAGAAGTCCTATTCACTAATTTCTCGTGGCACGGGTGTTTGCGAAATTGAGAGGACGAAAAGTAAATGTCCGGCGATTTAACCAGGTTGGTAGATGTGGAGGATTCAAGTAGGGGAGTTTGAAAACTCTGATTCCAAATCAATGGTGCACATTGGCTTCAGGATCATGAAGGAACAAATGGCGTATAAACCAATCGTTGGTCAACGATTATCATTGCATTTCATCTCCTGATAATGCTCCACTGCACTGTGAATTAGACTTTTAGGTCAAAGGCTTGTAGTGTGATCCACTAAGAAAACCACTTGCCACAGTTTGGGCAACCGGGTAGTATCCTAGCCCTCGCACAAATCGAATGATTTATGTGGTTCATATCTATTTGGTGTCTTTTTGTACCTATGTTTATGTGTTTAAATAAATAACTAAAATTATACATTTGTTTATTAGTGCCTAATGTTGACTGATAGGTTTTCTGTAGCTCACTTGAAAGTTATAATTTTCAATGTCAACTATAATAACATTTACACAATAACATAACAATAGTTCTTAGTGAGAATTAATTCTAGTTGAAAGTATGAATTACTTTGTTGGATCTAATGTATGTTCATCAGTTTCAAGTTTGGACAAATATCATTAGTGACTCGGGATTTGATTTGAGTCAGATCGTATGTATGATTGTCATTGAGATATACATATCGCCAATATTGGTATATAATCATCGACTTGAATCGCATTAGTGCAGAACGGAATTAAAATAAGTCAAATACAAGAATGGATTTTCGAATATGTATAATTTCTACACTGATTGCTCTGAACACACAATCAGAGGAATGAAGTGACGAGAAGAGAGAGAGGCGAAATAATGCGCAATGGAGATGGCATGTGAGCAAACTCGATTTAATTTAGCATTAATCGATATTCATAGTCATACAAAAATAAGCTACAGACATGTGATAAGTAGGAAGATGCATGTATACACGTACGTTCATATAAAAATAGTCACGATTAATTAGAGAATAATTAACAAAGTCAAAATGTAGCTTGAGAAGAATGGATAAATTAGCTTGTCCGGAAGCTAGAATAAGTTATGTAGGCTCGACATAGGACCACCAGTCACTATATATCTCTCTAGGACTGCTTGGTTTTCATCAGTTGTTTAGTTTAATTAGTCCATGATACTTACTATTTTCCAGCAAAAGCTTTTCCACACAATCTTGACTAAATTACTTTGAAAAACATAATAAACTGATCAAATGTTTTCCATATCGTTTAATTAAAATCGCCCCAAACGCCCTAGTACAGCTGAGAGTGAGGAGAGTTAGATCTCCCTCTTCAAATGCTCTCACATGGCCACATGCATTACAACCACTGCCAAGAAAATCCTACTCACTACCTTCTTGAGACGAGGGTGTTGCTCATGAAATTCAGAAGATGTGACGTGATTGTCCGGCGGTTTAACCGGGTTGGTGGATATGGAGGATCCAAGTGGGGGAGTTGGAAAACCCTTGTTCCATATGAATGCATCTCCTTACATGTGGTGTTAAGACATTGGTAAATTATCTGACAACTGTTGATGAAAATCATCTTACGAGTTATCGAATATTCAACTCATTAAAAAAAACTGAAAGCAATTTGATTAAGTTAACAGTTAAATGAATGGTTAAGTACATTAAATAGATATCAAAATAGAATGAAATAACTCTGAGAAGACTCTCTGTAGTTCTATTGTGAATTACTGAAACACACGTCATCACTGGCATTGGATTGTAGTCATGCTGTAGCGTAAGTCGATTAAAGTTTGAAATGTGGACTAATATGCTTTACCTTAATGCTTCACTATGATAAATAAATATTGTAAGTTTAATTCTACATATAGGACCATGAAGTCACACTACTTGTAAAAAGTTCCAAACATGACCAAAACATACCATTTAACTTTTTAATGATCCTTTAGTCGTTGATGAAGACTAAATTTAAATACTGGTAAATCCTTATTACTCACCACTTCATCATATTCTCATCAATGATTAACTTTGAAGAGAATTTCCAGAATTTCTTATTTTCTATAATTCTCTAGCTGATTACTATACCTGAATAAAATGTATTTGAAACCAAACAATCTTCATAAAATTTCTTACGCAATCAAATAAATGATTTTTGACAAATAAAAGAGTCAATTGAAGCTAGATCACCATGGAAAACCTGGAAGCGCTGGACGGCCGTTTCATCCTGGTATGGGACTCCTCAACAGTGAGCATCCATGATCCCGCCCCCCGCGAGATTCGAACACAGGACCTATCAGTCTCGCGCCAGGCACTTAATAAACTAGACTACTGTGCCGGCATCCAACGATGTTAATGTCTAACTTCAACCAATCCACGAAGTTGCGCCACCGTACACCATTATCTTCAGTGAGCTGATATCTCACAACAGATCTAGTTGAACTCCACTGGTGACGGCTTCTCACTAAAACTCCAGGAGTATCTCTTGAAGTCAGTAACTAGTGAGCAAATTATTATTATCAGAAGGGGTTTGTGGAGATTTTAGAAATTTCATGGGTTGAAATCATGAGTCAATTGAGGCTAGACGGTGGCGCAACTTCGTGGATTGGTTGAAGTTAGACATTAACACCGCTGAATGCCAGTCGGCTCAGTGGTCTAGTGGTTAAGCACGCGAGACTGATAGGTTCTGGGTTCGAATCTCGCGTGAGGCGGGATCATGGATGCACACTGCTGAGGAGTCCCACAGTAGGATGAAACGGTCATCCAATGCTTCCATGTTCTCCATTGTGGTCTAGCTTCAATTGACTCATGATTTCAATCTGTGAAATTTCTAAAATCTCCACAAACCCCTTCTGAAAATAAAAGAGTCTTTAATACCTATATCCCTCTGTTAATGTTTACATCGAGACTTCAACCTCAAGTACAATTTCATTTCAAATATAAACGGGTTAGCCGCTCAGTCCAGATTACAACTAACTTGTTCAACAATTATGATGTTTGTATCATTATCGAGAAAGTTTACTTGGTATTATTTGCTTGTATATTCCAATTGTCGTGTATGACTGAAGTTGATTAATCTCTTGTGGCGAGATTATAGACGAGCTAATCAGAAGCGTTTGAGGGATTTCTGGGTCACAATGCCAATCTCAGTACCTAATGCTCATGTACGATCGGTTCACAGCGAATTTCAGAGAAAACGTGATAATTGACCGACTACAATAAATGGGATTACTAAAAAGTTCCTTTGTTTGTGATTAAGGTCATCAAATGACTTGTGGACCTTGTATAGACTACCGTAATAATATTATCTTTCCATTTAATATGTGTTGGAGGAAGAAGTCTGCCAGAATATGATTTTTTTGCGCTCGATCCAGATTGAGACTAAAGCAAATTATGACAATTGTTGCGAACTGGATAATAAAAGCACCAGTAACACTGGCTGCTACCGGTTACTACAATATATACGGTTGATTGGAAAGCGTACAGATGGCTACATAGACCTGTTTATGTGCATCTTATCGTTATCCACAAGTGGCATTTTGTGGATTCATTTACCGGAATGCACACAAAAAATACTGAAGTTATGTGGTCGAGGCTGGAAGTTTTTGAGGCTTTATCATAGCTCCAGAAGTCGACCATTATGGCGACATATGGATGATTTCCTCTACCGTATGAATTACGATTTTAGAACCTCTGAACCTCTTTCTAACCTTGACAAGTTTTCGAACAATGTATAAGAAGTGTATCCACTTTAATTCTTTGCTGTTTTATAATATATTTTTCCTCTATACTAATTGTTCTCTGATTGGTTTGTATTTCTTGAGGTCACCTAAGATTCGTTCAAAGGTCGTCCATAAATTCTATTTTAGCCTCTCTTATTGGCATATGTACATCCTGTACAGTCTACCTTGATATTACCATAAGTCACAAGCTTTATAAATACAGATAGATGGTGACTATCACTGAAATCCAGAATGCGCGTCTCATCCTATTTTGGAACACGTCAGCTGGATGTACTTGCATCCCAGCTTTGTCTTATTCTTATATTGATATCTGTG